CTGCTTCTCCTTCTCCCACTCCCCCTGCTTGTGTTCCCTCTCTCACTGTCTCTCTCTCTCTGCCAAATAAATAATAAAATCTTTAAAAAAAAAAAAAAAAGAGTAAATGGGAACTTTTTTTTTTCCATTTAGATTCTGTTGACAAATTGTGGGACACAATCCATGAGGTCTGCATTTTATTCAGTTAGATTATAATTAGTTATTGATTGAATCTAACTTATATAATATAATTTGTACTTAATGGCATTACTGTCACGTTCTATTTAGCAGCTATACATATTCTACTATACAAAAATAAAGAATTTAAAGAGAATTTCCACAGAAAATGTATTCACAAATTTAAGAACAGCTTGTAAAACAATGTGCTCTTTTGTGCAGCAAAAACTACCAAAACTGCACTAACATTTCTTCAAAATGCACTGTAGATCTGTGAACATGAAGACATCTATGGTCCCTGATACGTATTACCTCCTACCCTTTTTATTAGCCTGTCCCGCTCTTAAAGGTTATGAACAGTTATCATTTACTGAGTGTCTGCCGTGTGCCGTACACCACACGAAGCATTTTACACGCATTATCGTTTATTTTCATAACCCTAGGAGACAGATCCTATGGTTCTTAGTGTTTACAAATGAAAACATCAGGGTATTATTTGGAGGCAAAGCCTAATAAGCTCTTATGTATTGCCTAGCCTATAAACAAACAATATTAATAATTTTCTCATTTTATGAACCAAAGACAGTTCTTAATTAGAATTCCCATCAGCACGATACCACAGTGAAGTGATAGTTTCATTTTTATGTAAATATTTATTCAATATATTAACACTTTTCTTTGGAAGGCTCTACATAAAATATTGATAATTAGCTATGGATGATATGAGATGGCTTTTATTTTTGCATATGTATGTATGTGGAGGGTTTTGTATGGGGTTTTTTTTAAGTTTTTATTTAAATTCGTTAGTTACAATATAGTGTAATATTAATTTCAGGTGTACAATACAGTGATTCAACACTTCCTTACAACTGGTGCTCATCACAGCAAGTGCACTCCTTAATTCCCATCACCTGTTTTACCCATTCCCCCACCACCTCCCCTCTGGTAACCACCAGTATATTCTCTGTAGTTAAGAGTCTGTTTCTTCATTTGCCTCTTTTTCTTCCCCCTTTGCTCATTTATTTTCTTAAATTCCACATATGAGTGAAATCATATGTTTTTCTCTGACTTATTTTGTTTAGCATAATACTGTCTGACTCCATGTGGTTGCAAATGGCAAATTTTTTTTTTATGGCTGAGTAATATGATTCTTTTTTAAAAATAGTGACCTCATATTACTTTTAAGATTTATTTATTTGAGTGAGCAAGCATGCGGGGGGGGAGGGGGCGGGTAGAGGGACAAGCGGACTCCCTGCTAAGTGGAGAGCCCAATGTCGGACTCGATCCCACTACCCTGAGATCATGACCTGAGCCGAAGTCAGGCACTTAACTGACTGAGCCACCCAGATGCCCCTGACCACATATTACTTTTATTTTTTTTTTAAGATTTTATTTATTTATTTGAGAGAGAGAGAGAGAGAGGGATCACAAGTAGGCAGAGTGGCAGGCAGTGGGAGA